GGGGACCGGCCAGGGCCGAGCCCTGGGGCTCCGCAGTCGAGGGGAGGAGGCGTTGGCCGGGCGGGCAGGCACACGGGCGCCAGGCCGACTCTGCCGTCCACTCGCCGTACAGCCTCTGGGTCTTCGCTTCCCCGTCCGTCCAGCAGGCTGATGGCGCCATCCTCACAGAGCTCACGTGAGGCTGAAACATGGGTCAAGTCCTGACGTGTGGGAAGGGTGACTATAGATGACGTGTTAGGGCAGTGAACATGGCCGGGTGCGTGGCTCATGTCTGCAATCCCAGCACTTCGGGAGGCCACGGCGAGAGAGAGGATCACCTGAGGCCAGGAGCTGGAGACCAGCCTGGGCAACATAGCAAGACCTTGTCTCTACCAAAAGAGTTAAAAGATTAGCCGGGCATGGTGGTGCCCACCTGTAGTCCCAGCTACTCAGGAGGCTGAGGCGGAAGGATCGCCAGAGCCCAGCAGGTCGAGGCTGTGGTGACCAGGAGTGTGCCACTGCCCTCCAGCCTGGGCGACAGAGTGAGACTCCAACTGGAAAAAAAAAAAAGAAAAAAAAAATTCCAGGCCCAGGGACTCAAGCCTGTAATCCCAGCACTTTGGGAGGCCAAGGTGAGAGGATTGCCTCAGCCCAGGGGTTTGAGACCAGCCTGGGTAACTTGGCGAGACCTCGTCTCTACAACAAAAATAAAAAAATTAGCCGGGTGTGGTAGCACGCGCCTGTAGTTCTAGCTACTCAGAAGGCTGAGGCGGAAGGATTGCCTGAGCCCAGCAGGTCGAGGCTGCGGTAGCCTTGACCTGCTGGGCTCCGACTCAAAAACAAAAAGAGAAAACACCCTACAGAGCAGTGAACACACTGCAAGTGCCTGTGTCTGCCAGCCAACCCTCCGCAGCCTCGGGAGACAGGTTGCGAGTGAGGCTTGGGAGGTCGGGCCGCTTGCCTGAGCCCCCCGGTGGGGGAACGCAGCCAGGCCTCCGCCTGCGTCCCTGCCCTGCCTGGGTGCCGCCCTGGGCGCAGGTCCCACAGAGCTGGCAGAGCCGGGACCCAGCACGGGGGCCCCGGTGACGCCCTGTGGGGATGCAAGGGAGGAGGAGGTGGTGGGTCCTTCTCAGCCCGTGCGTCCCCTTCCCTTCCAGGATACAGCCGCGGGGGCTGTGTGGCCCTGGCCACAGGCAGTGCCATGGGGCTGTGGGAAGTGAAGAACTGCACGTCGTTCCGGGCCCGCTACATCTGCCGGCAGAGCCTGGGCACCCCCGTGACGCCGGAGCTGCCCGGGCCAGACCCCACGCCCAGCCTCACTGGGGCCTGTCCCCGGGGCTGGGCCTCGGACCCCACACTC